ATTTTATTTTATAATCAGACAATTCAGGTGATTTGAAGGTAAAATCACAAATTAAACAAATTATATCAATTTTATAATTTTATAATTTAAATTAACTCAATTTTATATCAAGTTGATTTAATTTTTAATTAGATTACATCAGTTTGAGTCAAATCAATTGGACTGAACATCCCTAGTTCTCACACACAAATTAAGATAGTTCATCCAATCACATGCACTTAATTTATCTTTGCTTAAATACCCAACTTGGTCCCTCAACTTTTATTTTTGGACAAGTTCATCCCTAAACTTTAAAAATTACCAAAATCATCCTTAAACTTCATTTTTCTGCTACCAACTTGATCCTTCTATCAATTGACTTGCCATATGTCATGTTAACTTGCCACGAATTTGAACTTTTTAAATTTAAATGATGACATGGTAAAGAGAACAAGCATGTATTGTTGACATGGCTAAATGGACCCATTTCTCTTAAATTAAATTCTATGATTTTGATGAAGGCCAAAAAAAATTGCATGATTTTAATTATTTATATATTTGTTACTAATAAATATGGAATTAACTCATAATTAAAACTTTTTTTTTTTTTTTTGGAAAATGACGTGTGACACCCGGTGTGCACACCCCCCATAAAAAAAAAAAAATCCTCACTGGGTGCATACCATTGTTTTTTTTTATGTGGGGGGTGCACACCCGGGTGTTGGATTCGGGTGTGCACCAATCATGATCTTTTTTTTTTTTTTTTTTTCAGTTGAGAAGAAAAATAAAAAATTTTATCAAACTTGAGCCCATTGATAAGGAATTGCTGCAGGTAAAATTGAATCAAATCGCATGGCGGTCTATATATGAATTTCACATTGTGAAAGTACAACACAAACTGTGGCGGGAGCACTAGGATTAGGAGGCAAGTATCGCTGACCTTGGCAGGTATTTGTGCTAATCTGAAAGTGGAAATGATGTGAGCCCCATTGAAAAATATATCTTAAATGTAAAATTTAGGTAACATAACAATTACATTTAACTTAAAATTAATTGATAATAAATAGAGTAATTTTTTTTATATCTAAAAATTTTAAATTACACTCATTATTTATTATATTTTAATATAGATTTTATCACTTACCACACTGTAGCATGGTATTCTATCACTAGACTTAATACGTTCTCTTACATGTAAATTGATAACTTTAAATTATACATTTACATGGGTTATGAATAGGCCAGCTTAATAGGAACATAAGATGCTTTGATATTATGTGAAGATTGAGTATATGAGTAATTTTGAATACAAAACTTATATCTAATTTAAAACTAATTAATAATATGTGAAGTAACACTATTTATTTATTTTAAGTCATACATTTCTCACTATATTTTAATGTGAAATTTTATCACTTAACACTTAAAATGTTATTATGCATAGAAAAACACTCAAATATTATTTTATTGAAAAAGTAACATAGTTAACCGTTAATAAACTACCTTTAATAAGATGTTTGTAACGATGTGCGAGTAAGGACTACAATCTGATGGAATCATAGAGTAGAGGAATAAAAACAATAGTGTTTCATAGGGTACAGGGATGACTTTAAACGTTTTTTAACTAAGAGGGAGAAGAACGAACGAAAATCCAAAATAGATAGACTATAATTGGCTTGAACAGAAAATAAAATCCCTAAAAAATAGTACACTCTATGTAAAACCCCAATTCTGTGTACCTAACTTGGCTGTCACGATCATTAGCATACATAGCGTCATATCGAACTTGATTGAACCCAATTCTGTGTACCTAACGGGCCACATCTGGTAGTAATCACAATTTCCAAGTTCCAACAAATTTTCCTCACTAATAACCCATATTTATAGCCCCACCATATTTAATGCACTTCGTCCCAAAGTCGATGAGGAATCGTGGGTTCAGTTGGAAAGTTCGATTCTTACCCATTATTTAAAAAAAGTTTATCTAATTTGGTTTTTTGGAATAAATTAAGTATCATTAATTATAATATTTATAATTAAATTTATATAAATTTTTATATAAAGTTCTTAGCTTTTTATATATTTTAAGTATAAATGTTATACAACGAGGAATGTAGAGAAATTCTTAAAATTCTTATTGGAGCATGTGCAGATTCCATAGTATGGCATTTTGATAAGTATGATGGATTTTCTGATAAAAGTACTTACTTTCTTGCCCTTCATGTGCTGCATGAAAATGATATGAATAATGAAAATATGGTTCTTTCTTCGGGCGAATGGAAACATATATGGAAACTAAAAGTCCCTCCTAAGATTCATGTTTTTCTATGGAGAGCCATCCATAACTCGTTGCCTTCTTTGGATAACTCGGTAAAAAGGGGAATCATGCAGGAGGCACTTTGTCCTAACTGTCATATAGCTGAAGAAACTCTCATGCATTTACTTTTATGCTGCCCTCATGTAGAACCAATTTGGTTTGGTTCAGCCTTGGGTCTTAACCCTCGGCAGCTGGAGGTTGCGTCTTTTGTTGCATGGTGGAGATAAATTAATGATTTCACTAAACAAGGGTTTGAGAGAGAATGAGAGAGTTAGAGAGAGACAGTGCTAGGGTTAGGGCAAGGCTTCCGACAGCCAAGGACAGTGGTAGTGGGATCAGGAGGCAGCTTCCACGGTATGGCAAGCAGTATCTTGGGCAGGCAACTTCGTATTTTTTCTATGATTTTCCAGCGGATCAGTCAGCAAAGGATTTGTGGTATTGTTTCTGGTCATTTGGGAAGGTGGCCGATGTGTATATTCCAGCGAAGCGTGACAGAAGAGGCCGCCGGTTTGGTTTCGTTCGTATGTTGAATGTCTCAAATGTTAGGGAGATGGAAAGGAAATTGAACCAGATTAAGATACACTCTTATCATCTCAAGGTGAAGCTCGCTGAGAATATGAAAAAAGGAAGGGAGGGGACTTTGTTGGGTAATCACAAGCAATTGGAGAAACAATGGATTAGAAGAGACAGTAAGGTGACTCCAGGGAAAACTTATGCTCAGGTCGTTGCTGGAGATATGGGCTCACTTGAGCAAGGGCAATCATCCAATAATGGAGTACAGCAAGGTGTTGCAAAGAAAGGAAACGAGGCTATGGAGGATGCGGGGGAGGAGGAATTGAAGGTGACGCCGGAGATATCACAGGAGAAGGCTTCTGGGCCAGAAACGGTGCAGGTGTTAAACTTTATCCCTAAGAATGAGGAAGTGGCATGGCTGAAACGCAGTATGGTGGCGGAGGTGCGATCTTTGGATTTGGTGAAGCGAATCCAAAATAGCTTGGATGTGGAGGGAGTACTGGTGAGTGTTGCTTTGCTTGGTGGTCGACAAATCATTTTGGTGGATAATTCGGAAGGTGGCTTGGAGGAGTTCCTTAACAGAAGTAAAGATTTGGTTGAATTGTGGTTTGAGTGGATAAAGCCATGTTCTTTATCCACAGTTTCTTCATTGTGTAGATTGGTATGGCTTCGGCTTAATGGTGTTCCGTTGAAGGCATGGAGCGAGAGATGCTTCACTGAATTAGGGAACATAATTGGAGAGGTGATTCTTGTTGATGAGGATACAAGGAGTAAATCGTTTTTATGCGAAGGAAGGGTGTTGATTTTGAGTGCAGAAAAGAGGAAAATATCAACAACCATTTGTTTGCGAGTTGATGGCGAGGATTTCCCAATAGCAGTGTCAGAAGAGGAGTGGAGGATGGATCCGGATTGGTGGTTGGCCGGAGAACGTCGAAATCCGGCCACTCAACCCAGTTCGGAATATTCCAGCAGCGATGATGAAGAAGGTGATGACGGTTACAGTGATTTGAATTTGAACTTCAATGGAAACGGATTTCTGTGCGGAGATGGCGGTGAGTTGGCCGAAGATCATGCTGTAACGGATTTGGTTTTATACAAAGAGTTGAGTAGACAAGCAGAATTGCAGGGAGAAGAAGTGGCTGGGTTTGTTGGCCGGAATGGGCTTGACGAAATTGGGCTGGATAAGGGGAACCAGGTTGGGCCGGGAGTTGTTGGAAATGGAATTGGGCTGGAGGAAGCACAGCCTGGTTGTGGGTCCATCTTTAAATCCCAAGCATCTTCGACACAGCTGCAGCAGATGGCGTTGACGGGGAAAAAACGCAGGACCCTGAGGGAAATTTATGCAGGGGGGGCTGGAGCGGATGAAACGATGCAAAGGGGCGCGAGTTGGATTACGGCCCGAACAAAGAGTAGAAGGGACAGGAGGATGATAGAAGCGCCAGAAGAGGAGAGGCCGAATCTGCAGCAGGAAAGTTGCTCTGTGTCGGACGGATGCATTCAGCACAGAAATGGGATTATTCGGCGTCAATTGGAGACAAAAGAGGTGAGGGAAATATTTGAGTTGGGGCAAAGGTTGGGGATTCAGTGCCAACACAACGATGAAGAGGTGATCTCTCGGCTGGCAGCTTTGGAGGCGAGGGACGAGATTAATTCCAGGGGGGCCTGAAGCTTGGGTGCTGGCAGAATGGAGGTTTGTGAGGTCTAGTTTTTTATTTATGAAAGTAATTTCGTTTAATGTTAGAGGGTTGGGTAGTATGTTAAAGAGAAAGGAGATTGCCAAGTTAGTTAGAAAGGAGAGGCCAGATTTCCTATTTATTCAAGAAACTAAATTAGAGGAAGTGGATGTTGCGTTGTGTAAA